ATATTGCAGCGAAATTAAATGCTTTTGTAGTTAAAAATTCTCTATTAAAAGTTAAAAATTCTGTATTATTTTTTAATAAATGTACTACTATGTATGCCCAATTACTCCAAACTCTAAATAATCTAATAAATCTAAACGATCGAAGTAGAAGATATCAAATAGTGAATTGAATATCTTCCGTTTTAGTTAAACGTCCTAATCAGCTATAATCATACTAATTCATAAGCCTCAATAATATTGAGTAATATTCCCAAACAATGGAGCGAACAGGAATTAAATTCTAATGCATACTGCTCTTAATAATTTAGATTCGAAGAGACATTCCAATGTTATTTAATCACGCAAATGACAACACTGTTAATAAACGATTATTTGAGCATTAATCCAAAATGTTGTTTTATCTTGCAAAATGGTCATATGAAACAAAAAATTCTCTTAACGTCTGTGAAACGACTTTTTTAAATTGTTTAAATATTATTTACACAAATACATCGCATTTTTTGTGAAATGTAAATATTAAAAGCTGATAAACTGCTGAATTTACCAAACATACGATAATGTATTATGTATTATCGTGTAGTCTAATATTAGAATTTCATTAAGTTTAACAAATTCCTAAGCGAATCTGTTATACGTATTAATCATTAAATAATAATCAGTGGACCAATCTCAAAAGATATGAAGCACTAGTTTAGCCATTAATTTCAATATTTCGTTATTATCGATTACAATCGATTAATAGTTTTACAAAACTATTAATCGATAAGGAAACCAACTTTTATTTAGTAATCAATTACTTTTATAAGATTTTTAACCTCTCTGACAGCATAGGTTTCATTACTCTCCCAATGTTTAAAATTAGGCCTTCATTTATAAACAATTGCCTGTGTAACCAATAAAAGAAATTTGAAATTCATATATCAAAGATATATTTTTGATTATTTACTTTAAAATTATAATTAGGTTATGCTAGTTACTACAATTGCAAAAGAAAATATCGTGTATTTAGAAGAACGTATTTAACTGTGTCCAATATTTGAAAAGTATTTAAAAAATACATGCATTCATTTGAAATTTTCAAGCCATTGTATCGGGAGTTCTAATAGATCTCGCCAATTTTGAATGACAAATTGTAAAACTTTTCATAATTAATATTCCGAATTTTTAATATAAATTAAAATACTATTCATTAATAGTAAACTTTTTAGATCATTTTAAAAATAAATGTACTAACCTCAAAAACCAGTATAACAATTTAAAAGAAACTTAATCAATTGCATGATTTTCTTTTTCATACTTTCTTTAAAAATTTGTTTTAAGACATATAAGTAATTTTGAGGTAAGAATTATTTACTTTCTGATGTTACAAGTAAATGAAGTTAAAAGAGTGTGCAAAAGGAGCAATATATTATTCCTCCTTGACATTAGCAAATAATTTGACGATACAATAATATACAAATAATTTGACATTAAACATGTATGCAATAGTTTCAGTACGATATTGGAACCACCATTTCTCATACTAAGATTGGAGAATTATTGGCTAGTACTCTTCCACAAATCTGCTGGCCGTGTGAGAGCTGGCAATTGTTCTCTATGTACCATAAATGCTTACTAATAACCTACTCGAAGAGCAGCCATAAAATAACAATAGAATTATTTTGAGCTGTGTTGGCTCAGGAAATGGAGTGCACGCCTCTCAATGAGGTGTTTAGGGTTCGAATTCCAGAGATAGCTGGTCGATACAAAGTTCGCCCGCCTAGCACCGAATACAGCGCTGACGTTAAATATTCTCAGTAGTAGACGGATAATGTGTTAGAGTCTCTTTGATGTTAGGCTAACCATAGAAGGTTTTGTGGTTTTACTCTACATGTAACGCAAATGCGGGTGAGTTCCATCAAAAAAGTTCTCCACGAAAACGAATTTCTTCAAATACTTGATCCAAGAGTTCCTTTGTCTTCTGGATTGGGTTCAAAATTACACAGCTACGGAGGTGAACATTGCTAGTCGTAAAAATGAAATTGGTTCTGCAGGTCAACGACGGTTATAAGATAAAATTATATGAATTGACAACCTTTTTGCTCAATGTAATTGGAATGATAAGTCTACACATTTACAAAAATAGCTTCACTTTAGCATATAGTTTCAACATCATTCAATCTTTATATTTCACGACTTGTTGAAAAGAGATTGAGAAATCTGACCAGCTTCTTTTCATGGGATTTTAAATTTTCATCATGAGCAAAAGATTTTCATCTTCTTTCAAAAAATCGAAGTCAGCAATTGGAAGCTAGGAAGCAGTTTTCTATCATCTTCTCCTTTTTCCCTGTTTCCCTCACAAACAGGCTCGTTCAATGCGAGAAATCAATAGCCGTTTAGTTAGCTATCTATTTTCACCTGTCATGGAATTCCAGGCAGCCGATTCAACACCGGTCCTTTACTGACTTTTTCCCCTACTTTAGCCAGATTCTTTTTTTTAGCTTTTCCCCTTTCTTTCCCTGGCTTTATAGGATAGAATCCGTGTAAATCCCTTTTCCCTGGTGTATACACACAAACGTCACTTGACAGCGCTTGAAAAAATGCCAGGCTGTAAATCTGTTTGTCTAGCAGTCGGTATTCGTTCTGTATATTCGATCGAACAGCAAGAAGAAACTACGAGAAATGTGATAGCATCGCTAACAAATAGCTGCAACTGCTTCCCCTATTCTTGTTCTGACATGTTAAATTGTAACCAGAAAATCTCGCCAAATAGAAAGTTCAAGTTCCCTAAAAGAAAAAATTCCCTTCTGAGATTTGTATCTTACGGGAACAAGTTTCAAATGCTATCTTTTTCTGCCAACTTATTCAACTTTTGAAATTTTAACAGTTTTTATTTCATAACCTTTTGAAAAATTTCAAATGACAACGGATTTTGTTCTTTTTACTTACGATGTAAAGTTAAAAAATTTCTCTAACTTTCTGGAAGTTCAAGTTTCTTAAATCATACTTTTTATTTTCATCACTGCTTCAACTATTTTTATTCCCACGGCCACAAAATGCCATACTTCTTTTTCAATTTAAAGTTTTTTTATCGAACTTTGTACCTAAAAACGTTAAAATATGAAATAAGAAGTTGCCCCTCATCTTTTAAATAACTAAATCCTTAAATAATTATTGCTATGATAGTTTCTAACATGACGGGGGGTAACATTTTATTACAACAAGGACTAATGACAAGGGACTAACATTTTATTACAGCATTAAATATCCTGAACTAACTATTTCAATTTTTCATGTCATTTCAGCTACATTGAGGATAATTTCAAGATAAATTATGTACAGTTAGTTGCTTGATTCAAGACTTGTTTGCTTCAATTCTAGCATTTTTTTTTTTAAAAATTGTTGTATTACGTTATTGGTTAAGGCGACACAGGGCTATAAAATATTACATATTATATATAGTTTCAAATTCTCAGTTCAATAGAATAAAAAAGTTCGTAGCAACTGTTCAAAATTCGTAAATTTGCCAAAAAAAAGACATTTTTTTAAAAAAATGGCTTTTTCTAGTTATTTATTACAAATTCTACGTTTGAAGAAATATTTCTTTGTTTTAAGCATAAATAACTATAAATATAATCTTATGAACTAGTTAAAGAGTTAGATGCTTTAAAATTTAAAAAATATACACAATCTTCGAAAGCAAGCCAAAACTTACTTGGGTATACAGTTACCTGCAAACAAGAAAATGTAAACAAAGGGGTGTGGTCAAAACAAAAATCGCCATAACTTCGTCAATTTTGCTCCGATTCAAAAAGTGTTTGCTTTAAAATGTTCAGTTAAATATCTAGATATCAAAATTAGTAAATATAGAAAATAAATTTTGCGACGAATTTTCGTTCATTTGAAAGCCTCTCGTCGCCTAAAGCATAAGCAAAATAGAAAAATTGCTTATGCTGCCCTCAAACGTGCTTAGAAAAGTTTACAATTTGAGTTTCAATTTAAATATTAAAGCTTTTAATCTTTTCATGCTTAAACCTAAACATTAGTTATTAAAAATTAAAGCAACCTATCAGACTTTTATTTCTGACTTCATTGCAAAATCGACTATCAAATCGAACTATAATATCAATCTATAATATCAATAAAATACTCAATACTTGAAAAGAAATCAATATTCTAAAGTATTTTATATCGAATTCGGTTTTCTATGAGTTACTTATTTTTAAATCTGTTCTCATAAGGATGGCTTAAAAATTTGTGGGTTTTAAATAAAATCTGTTATTATTTTATTGAAATAAATACTTTTTTTTGTACAAGTGTAATTCCATGCGGGATCCACAATTAAAATTAACAACCATGTCTTAAGTAACTACGGAAATATTAATATTGAATTATGTTAAATTTCTCCTTTTTTAATATTTGCTAATACAATTGTTTGTTTAATTTTTACTAAATTCTTCCAATTGAATTTGATCTATGAAAAGAAAATTCTAATTAAAGGTTCTAAGAAATTTAGTAGGTAGAATATGTAAATCAAATAATCACGAGGATATAATAAGTTTTAAATTTCGCTTTGTTACAGTGAAAATCATCCTGGTGATTATTTTATGTAAAAATTCGATTTTTATGAAGAAAGAATAAAGCATGGGTCAATGCAATTGCGCAAAATACGGTGATGTATTATTTTTCTAGAATATTGTAACGCATGTTATTGCCCAATTACATGGCAGTAGGGAATATGTAACTTCTATCAGAAAACAATAACGCATAAAAATGCCCAACAACTAACTGATAGTCGACACTAAGTTTAATTAGCTATGAAAAAATATGACTAATTTTGGTTCTTTAATTGCATCGATATTATTCTCTAGCACGGAATGCGTTGCTTACACGAATAAAAGAATTACTAAAGCAATATTTTTACCACCTATGTTCAAAATATACGAGTTCAAAAAAAAATTTCATTGCATAGAAAAATTAAAATTGAAAATTGAAGATTTCTTTCTATTTTTTATTTCCAGGGCTGCTCAGCGTTTAAATCTGTCCTCAAGAAAGAAACGACGCCAACAGCATCATCCAGATTCAGAGGCCCTTCCATTCCTCACAAACTTTGCAGAAATTTTGCGTGTTTCTCCACCTCCTGCACCACCTGCCTTACTTCGCTCGATTGGAAAGAAGGAGAATTTTTCCATTGGAAAGGTAAGTTTTTCCAATAATTACGTTAGATTTGTGGCAGCTAATTTTATTTTATTTTATAAACTAGCGTTGTACAACCGATCCAATTCTGAGTTTACGACTGTCAATGTATCCATTTAATTTTGAACTCAACCCTGAAGACAAGGGAGCTCTCGGATTGAGCATTGTGACAAACACGTCTTTATGAAAGATTTTTAAATGGAACTGAACCACACTTGCTTTACATAAAAAGAAAAACAACTAAAATCGCCTACGATTAGCACGACGGAGAGGGAATTCTAATCCGTCTTTGACTGAGGATGTTTTAGGTCAGCACTGCTGTCGGTGCTAGCTGAGAATGGAATTCGTATCAACCAGCCACCACCGCGATTCGAATCTGCTTCACCACATTGGAAGGTGAACGCTCTATCCCCTAAGCCACCGTGACTCCTGTCGTAGCTAACTGGAAAAGAAAAAAATCCGGTTATTTGCAAATTGAGCAGTCATTTTACAGTGCTCCAGGCTAATTGTTATAGTCTTTCAGATTTTTTTTAAACTGTCTAATATTTTATGCTTAATATTATTTTTGCGCCATTTGGCTCATTAGGAATTACATAAAGTTATAGAATGAGACTGAATTTACTTAAACTTATAGCAATAAGTTTTTACATTACTCTTCGCTTATTGAAAGCCTGAAATATATCAAGATAATTGATCAATATGATACATTTTCTAAGTATCCTAAAGGTATATAGTCTCGCTGAAATAATCCTAAGAAAGCGTCGAGCTGATTAGGAACTACTCGTATATGAGACATTTCCAATTGGCCTAGAGCTTTTGAACGTGATATGACTGCTGTTTATTCAACAAACCAACCATAAATTCTTGTTCTGTGAGAATTTTGAAAACATTAAGGTGTAGGTGATGCTGCATCAGTTGCCAACTAAATTGCTTTCATTAACTCAAACTACTCCAAAACAAGCATTTTTTCGCAAATTTTTAAAATATGTCACAATCTTTTGTCAATTAATTCTAGACGTACTTTATATCGATCCAAATCTTTTGATTAGAAATTGTGAAACAATCCACATTGTCGTGTGCATCTTAAATTTGGTAAAAAGAAATACGATAATTATTTTCCGAAGAGAATAAAGTAAGAATTTAAATATTTTTTTTAAAAATATAACTTCCTTAAACAATAAATATAAAAAAGTAGACAGCACTAAAAAATTTTTAATTTTTATATTAAAAGCTCAAATGAAAAATAATCATGATAATTCTGGTGAAATAAAATTTTTCAAGATAAAAGAAGTCTGTCATAAACTGTTAATTGAATGAAAAGCAAAACATACATTACTAATCACATTTGAGGTCAGTTGACTCCCTCGTTTTTAAGTTTAAATGAAAAATTTGAAATTTTTTAAGTTATTTCCTTTTTCAGTTTTCTTTTCTAGTCATTTCCATTTTTGTGTTTCCAACAATAAACCTATAACTTAGAGCAATAAACCTGTTCTATACATATTTTATTTTTTTAACTTATTTTGCTTCACCATCTTATGCTAAAACGTAATTATATTTAAATTAAATAAGCTTACAATCAAAACTAGAGTTTTAAAAATATTTCCTAATACTTTTAAAACGTTTCTTTGATTAAATGAAGATAAACTTTGAAACATTATGAACGAAATAAATTAAATTACGAGCTTACCAATAGAAGCGTTAAATCAATTTCAATTTATTTCTAGATAAGTTAATTTGATTTTAATTCGTAACAAAATCATTTCTAATTTATTTATTCCTCAGAATAAGATATTTTATTTTGACTTAAAAATAATTCAGTTGGTAGATATATTGAAGGAAACCAATAAATGCATTTATTGATATAAAATAATTATTAAACATTTAAGAATGTAATTAATGTAAAGTTTTCCTAGATTGTACGTAATACCCTTTTACTCCTCAGAGAAATCTAAAATGGGATTTAAACTATAGTAAGGAGCTTTTACTTTAATTACTGTCACTTGTTTTACGTCGTGGTCCGGTTTTATACCATTGATCTCTTTAATAATCCCTTATGGGTTAAATAGGAAAGATCTCTACGATTGAAAAGAAAAGATAAAGATACCTTCCCGTTAGTTTGTATCAAATTTTCTAAAACTGTAGGTTAAATTTAAGTTACAAAATATGCATTAAATTAAAGAGAGTGTGTTTTATCCCTTTAATGCAAAATTTTTATTAAACATATTTTTAATACTTTTTTTGTTATTTTGTATTAATTCAAATCAAATTAAATAAAATAATATTATATTTTTCCTTTTAATAATTTATAGTTACAAAACACAGCATTAAACACCGGTTTCATTTTCTGTCTTAAAGGTAAAACCCAGCTCACTTCCAAACAATTTTTCAAATTTGCACTTATTTGCAGTGTTTTAGATATAGGACAAATAGTTATTCATAATTGAAAGTTCTTTAATTTACAAAAAAACATATTGATAATTTTTTAATATAAATGAAAACAAATTTTCAAACTACTTTTTCTTATTTTATATTTTAGTATATAATATTTTAGTACAAATATAATTCAAATAATCTAACACATTTGACTATAACTATTTGACCAGTAACTATTTGACTGTTTTTCATAATTAAAAGATACCAAAATATATTTTTACTTGCGATTGCAGCGCATGAGAAAAGAATATATAAAATCCTGTGTCAAAGAGTTCATTTAAGGATACTGACTTTTCTTTTAGTTGCAAATTACGCAGAAGAGTTATAGTTTAACCACATTTTCATATTCTTTTTCTAAGATACAAAAATTAACGAATTTTTTTCTCAATTTTTTAAATCAATGAATTCAATTGGAATATTCTTATTCACCTCAGGGGTTTTATTGAAAACTTTGGTTTCAATGAACTCTAGAAAATAATATACATTAATCGTATTAAAATTTTACAAATATATCTGATTTTTCATTCATCTTCTATGAAATAAACTTTCTTATATATTTGAATCCGATCGGGGAAAACTCGAAAACATCTATCCTAATGATCCGTCCTAATGATACGTACGAAGTACCAAAACCTCACAAAATTATTTAGGCAAGAAATTTAGTTATTTTGACCGAACACCATATGAAATTTATGCTCAAAATTTACGAAATTTTCTTTATTATTTACGAAATATTTTATTGTAAAAGCTCCGAAGCATTTCGCTAAATTGTGGAAAAAATAATTTTACTATGCTTGTAGCTGAAAATTTCTCCATATTTGCATTATTGAATCTCTTTCAAAAATGAAATAAATCATTATTCATATTAGAAGCCATAAATTAGTGTTTATAACAAGAAAATATAAAAGTGTTATCAAAATCTTGCAAATCAACTCTGACTTATTGAAATAATTAAGTGTGGCAAGATTTAAATTATATTATCATTTTGTGTAATCATTCAAAACTAAAGTAATATTGAATTAGACCTGAATCTACTTAGAACGCGCTATTAAATATGGTTTCCCTTTAAAAATAATAGCCTACATCTTAAATGACAAAAATTCACCTTATAATGTAACTTACTTCTTTTGCGTACATTTTAAGGGTATAACTGCGTAAAACTAAACCAAAATTGTCACTATACTTTTCACAACATTTTTACTACGGTTGATAATAATAAATGATGTAATATTTATTATGGTCACTTAATTTTGAAAAATATAAATACCATGAACTACTGGAAATTCCTGTTAAATGTAAATTACCCAGCTTTTAAAAAAGATAAAACGCTGTTTACATTTATATACCTTTTACTAAAATAATATTGAGCAAAACCTCGACCATAACTATTATTTAATATTTTAACTAATATTAAAAGCAAAATTTGTTATATTATACTATCAAATTAATTTTAAAACCTTATTATAAAACTAGATATATATAGTTGAAAATTAAAATAAATGTAGCGATTGTTTTACTTTGTCTACATTTGAAGCTAATAAAACATTTATAATGATGCGAAAGTTTTTTTAAGCAAAAAAATATTCATTGTATATTGTTAGTCAAATTGAATAAATATTTGAAACTTCAATTGAGGGTTGAACTTTTTTCTTTTCTCATATTACAATTAGCTTCATAACATTTTAATGAGTTTAATTAATTGTTGAATGATTACAAACTTTTTTCTTTTTTTTCCTTTCAATGATATTTAAATTATATTTGTCCATTAAACAGCAAAAGATCTTAAGCTAATTGATGCTTGTTTATAAAAAGTTATTTTAGTATTTTTTTCTGTTTGTAACATTAATCTTTATATTGAAGAAATGGAAGCTTTTATGTTCGAAAGCTGCTTAATATTAATTCTCTGCAAATAGCAAAAGTTGAGTGGAAAAAAAATCTTTGCTCGGTTTCTTTTAGAATTCCTTATTTCTTTTTTAATTTCATTAAATTCTAATTAGAAGGTATTTGCACATTTTTTCGAAAACAAAAACTTCAACCTAAAACAAAATACCAAATTACAGTTACGATAACATTTTTTTTAAAAAAAGTTCAAACAATAAGCAAATATATCTTAGATACACAATACAAATGCCAAAATTACAGTTTGAAAGAAAATTACCAAAAGCAAAACTTTTGGAAGTTGTTTCTTCAATTAAATATTTAAAGATAATTGGTCTTTTCAATGCATTGAACATTCTGCGAATAAACTTGACTGGAATAGGCTTACTGGTATCTACCACTTTACGCCATTGGCAAAATGCTTGTATAATTAATTTGTTAGCAGAATTAATCATGAGAAATGTACACTTCGGGGTTTCGTGGAGCCACGGAAACAGCTTTTACGAAAAGATTTCGCAATTATTTTTGCGAAGCGAACAAAATTCTCTAATTAATAATGAATGTCAAAACGCTTAAATTGAAACAAACCGCTGTTTGGAAAACGAAGTCTTGAAATTTTCATATAGTAATTGAACTGAATTTCGAACGCATGCATTCAGACGAAAAGCATTCTTCATTCAAACAAAAGGCAA